ACATATTTAATTTTGTTTGTTAAGTGCAAACATTTGTTACAAAACTATTTCTAAATTCAGTTCTACTTTCCAGCAAATGAATAAATAAACAATAATAACAAAGTGTGGTCAAAAAACTGAGAACACATGTCCTATTCTTATGCCCCATATGGTGATGCATACGTTTCCAAAACCTGACAGGTGGACAAATCTAAACTTGTTCTTATTAAAACAAATATAAATATGCATAAAATAAATAATACTGATAATAATAATATTATACAAAAGCAAATTGTCAAGAATAAACTGAAAAAAAAAACTCCTACACGTAGAAGGCATGGAGGCAGTGGTTTTTATGTTTGGGTTGTAAATAATAATTTTTGTAAGATTATTATTCCTTTAATTCTTTTTTATATGTAGAAATATTAGCGTATTGCTGTACATCCTGTGTGTGTTAAGCATAACTAACACACTCAGCGCTGAACTTTAGACTAGCTTTTACTTGGTCGACAGCGGGGTCTATTTCAGTTTCTCAGAATAGCAATGTACCAACAATACACCATAACTCAACTCCTTATAGACCAGCACACTCATGAATCCACAAAGTGGTGCAAATGGATATGCTATTTAAACAATGTGGCGCAAAACATGAAAATTAATGTTGCCGTGGTCTGAAAATAGCAAATCCTGCCAAACATGTCTTGTGCCTTAATGTGGCGGGTGTATGATAGGCCCATTGTTATTATTACATGATATTAACTGATGACACAAAATGTAGAACATCAAACAACAGTTTGAAACCTTCCAGGTTTATTTGAAAAGCACTTTTTTTTTTACAATAAATATTGTTCCAAAGATCTCTTAAAACTATCACAAGTTATTTTCGCAAGGAAGAGTATGCTATCTGTTCTAATCACATAACATTATATTGGTGATAGGCCTTCTGAAACAGTAAATGTTTAATACATAATATTAAAAACATAATATTAAATATCAAAAGTGGTTTCCTTTTGTGACTGCAGACTCAAATTAATTTAACCTTATGAAAGTAATCTGACTGAACGCGTCTACAACCATCTCTGAAAGTGATGAAAGCGGACAAGCTCACAATGTTTTAGACCCAGTTTAATCATTATTTATGATTGAAGTTATGGGTTTTAGTAAAACATCATTTTTGTTTTATTTGGCAAACTACTGATGACATTTCTTCCCAATTTTTTTTATTATTATTTATTTATTTTTTGTATTAAATAACAGTAACACATATTGCTCAAAACCATACCTAACAAAAGCCAGTAAATCTATAGAAACCAGTATTGGGCGAAGTTACATTTAAAGGTAATGCATTACAATATTGAGTTAATCCCTAAAAAAGTAACTTGTGTTACTTAGTTGCTTTTTATGGTAATACATTATGCTACTTTTGAGTTACTTTTACATTACTTTTTCTGAGCTGGCTGAGGCTTGATCACTTTCAGAACTTTTTTTTTTTTTTTTTTTAATAGAGGAGCTTTGCAATTAACAACAGACTATACAACCTACACCTTTATTTGCCTTTAAAAACACATCCGAAAAATAATGTTTTAGGATGTTATCAGAGAACTTCCTGACCCCAGAGCTATAGATGCCGTATATACAGTTGGTTAAAAGTTTAAAGCAATGTGTTTGCTACTTTTGTATTACTTATAGAACAATCACTGTAAAATCACTGTCCATTGAGACAATCCCCTTTTTCTTTTCTTAGATGCATTTAAAATAATGAACACATTCTCTCATCGACTGCGTGATTCATTGTGACTACTTTAGTTCAGCACTTTATTTATTAATGCAGTTAAATAAACTAAAAAGTAACTCGCGTTAGGAGTGGGCGATGCATTGAATATTAGCCATAATATCAGAATAATTTTGTCAACAGTGTAAAATTTTGAAATATCGATTATAGCGAATATTTTTAAATTCAAGCGTATACTTTCGTAAAAGAATGCACCAAGCATCCAATATTACGTCCCCCTTAAGCATTACCATGCGCAAAAGAGACGTGAAGTGATGGAGGGTCTTATTTTAGGCTAAACATTTCCAAATAACAGAATGAAGACGACAAACAACACAGTAGAAAAAGTCAAGGGAGGAGATGATGAGTTAGTCCCCAAAAAACACACATACTGCAATTTTAGAGTGGTCACAAAACACTGTTGAAATACTCTCGTTTTCGAGTTTACACTCAAAATAGATTAGGTCCCAGTTTCTGCTGTTCATGGTGGTTATAAAAATGAATAAATGGGGAATATCCGCCACAATCTTGTTTGTTCCTTTCTCTCACACATTCGTTTCATAAGTGTGTATCTCCTACATAGCCCTGACAGACAATATAAGCCTATACTGTATATTTTTTATGTTTCTTAATACTCAATTTAACTTTTAAGCATTTTGCTTAATGAGATAACTCATAAGGTTTTAATAGATACCCAGATCTGAGCTATAATTATTCACACACCACACTGAAACTTGGTGCAGTATAGGTTGGAGGACAGGTTTTAAATAACTTATTAAGGATGCACTGATTTTTGGATTTTTGGGCTGATATTGATATATAACTCTTTAGATTTGGAGGCAGATAACCAATAGATTAGTCAATAAATAATTCAAAATGTTATATTTTTATACAGTGAACAACTGATTTTATTTTAACAATGTCTAAAAGTTTAAACTGATTTTAGAATAGTCTACTCAAAGAAAAAAAAGAGCATTTCAAAATTGCAAGGTGAATATGTAGACCTATATTCACAATAGAATATATATATATATATATATATATATATATATATATATATATATATATATATATATATATATAATTCAAATAATATATAATTCTCCACTCTCCAATAAAATATTATTCAAAATAGATGACTTCCTTACTAAAAATAGCATTTATTGGCTGATAATGATATGGCCACCGATATATTGTGCATCCTTATATTGTATATGAGCCTAAGTAGAATATATGATTCAATATATCGGAAAAAAAAATTATGAGGCCGAAAGAAAAAAAATCTTTACGAGGCCGTAGTTAGTTAATTTCAAATATAAAATGCTTGAATAAAGCGAAACCACTCGCAATGTACACAGGCTTTAAACGGCCTCATAAAGAACATTAAAGGACTAATTTTTAGCCCCCCTGTTAATTTTTTACCCAATTTTTGTTTAACGGAGAGACGGAACGCATTTCTAACCATAATAGTTTTAATAACTCATTTCTAATAACTGATTTATTTCATCTTTGCCATGATGACAGTAAATAATATTTTACTAGATCTTTTTCAAGACACAAAGTGACTTTTAAAGGCTTAACTGGGTTAACAAACAGCAGATTATGTTTTTCTTCTTGTCATGTGGCTGTTTGCCACAAGAAGGTGAAAAGTCTTGGAAATTATTCTCTTTAAACCCATAACTTTCAGCTGCGCATCTTGTCCCAACCTTTTAGGTACTGTTCTATTGTGCTGGTTCCCTACAGTGAGTGAACACTTGGTCTTGTTTTTATGCATAACTGCACTAAACATTTAGTTTGTATTTACTCTGCAACAGTAGTTGTTGTAAATGTTTGTTTAATGGGGGCACAAGAAAATCATGTTGTCTCTTGTTTAAAAGGAAATTCAAACATAGAGATATATATATATATATATATATATATCGAATATCGTAAAAATGTTAACAATATTGAGATATTGTTAGTTCATTAAACCTAATGCAGGAAATAATACAAATGAATCTGCATCGTAAAGTGTTACCAAACTAAACCCTTATACTTCATGTACAGTTGAAGTTGAATTATTAGCCCCCTTCAAATTCTTTCTTCTTTTTTAAATATTTCCCAAATGATGTTTAACAGAGCAAGGAAATTTTCACAGTATGTCTGATAATATTTTTTCTTCTGGAGAAAGTCCTATTTGTTTTATTTCAGCTACAATAAAAGCAGTTTTTAATTTTTCAAAAACATTTTAAGGTCAATATTATTAGCCCCTTTAAGCTTTTTTCAATAGTCTACAGAACAAACCATCGATGTACAATAACTTGCCTAATTAACCCAGTTAAGCCTTTAAAAGAAACTTTATGTCTTGAAAAAGATCTAGTAAAATATTATTTACTGTCATCATGGCAAAGATAAAATAAATCAGTTATTAGAAATGAGTTATTAAATCTATTATGATTAGAAATGTATTTAAAAAAATCTTCTCTCCGTTAAACAGAAAATGGGTAAAAAATAAACAGGGGGGCTAATAATTCAGGGGGGCTAATAATTTTGACTTCAACTGTACCTTGACCCATGAGACAAAACCAAAACGGGTTTTCCTTCACAACATATAAAAAAGCCTGTAAGTGCTTCCAGGACTAACACCGCTGATCTCAGATCAGTATTAAGCTCTTCCTGTGAGCACAAGCTCTGCTCAACATGGGGGACCCTCATTACCTGCCCAACTCGCTTTGAAAACCGTAAGGCGGCGAGAGTTAACGAAACACACCTTCTGCTGCCACGCTCCGCAGGCGACTGGAGAGTCATTAAGAGCTTTGGCGGACCGTGACTCAAGACTCCGAAATTGCACACAGAGATCCTTAACTGGCGACATATATATTTCTTGGAGAGGCTGCAGGGTTTCTGAGCGTGGAGAGAAAGAGACAGAAAAAAAAAATCAGTGCAAGAGGTTTAGAGCAAGGTCATTCGAAAGTACCTCATTATGTCGGACATACCTCTCCAGCTGGCTCAAGCCGAACTTGTACCCCATTGGCTTTCCATAGCAAGCCTCATTGCTGATGTCCTCATCTACTTTCCCGGCAAGGGTCAAGACGGAGACGTGCCCTCATTTTGATGTGTTTCGGACTGTTTCCTCATTGAGTCCGCAGTTCACCTCCTAAATCAAAGTGCAGTTCTCATTGTTCCTTGGAATGATATGTTGCATTGAAACCACATTTTAATTTAGAGATCGAGCATGTGATTTGGGTTCTAACTTCTATCCTATTGGCAGGTTAAGAGTCAGGGGGTTACAGAAGAGCTGCGGTGCCTGGGCTTGCTCAACGTTCTGGGTAAAGATCAGGACATTCCCGAAGACCTGGCCCAACTGTTCGGAGAGCCTTGCATGAAGCTCGCCGAGGGTATCAAGGCGTATATTTCAAAGGTGAGTTCAGTACATGTTTTGGTTTGTTACACAACACTCTGCCTTCTTTTTGTTGGGATATCTGTCGAGGCAAGCTGTCTCTTAATAACATCTTTTAAAAACACACATCATCAATTTTTGGAGACAACAGTTGCTAGTGAAGGTTCCTCACAGCATGAAGAAACTTGCTGTTACCATAAATGTGTCCTGGCAAGTGATTGCGATCTCCTCAGGGAAGAAAAGTGGATGGTTGAGTCATGGGAGTGTTTTTCAGGCATTTGTGCTTGTATATGCAGCATTGTGGAGGGTGACTCACCCTCTTGTCCCGATCATGAACCAGTCTAGAAGTCAGAGCTCAGATTTGAAGGAAATGGCTTGGTTTTCCCCTGGCGTGGCTGGTTATCCCTTCAGATTCCAGCTTTTTTCCTTCACAGCCTTCAAGTGGTTGTGGTGTTAATAAAACTGACATGCTTGGAAGCCTCAGGCTTGGTTTTAAACCAAGACTTGTTTTAAAGGTGTGATTACTGCTTGATGCTCTGTAAGCCAAAGTCAAAAACTTCATTACAAGAAATACACAATGTCTTAAAATCGCTTTGTTTTATGTTTGTGCTTATGCTGACCAAGGTTGCACTAATAAAACAGTAAAATGTTATATTGTAAATTACTTTCAGTTAAAAACACATTTTCTAATTTATTATGTTTTGTTATACTTTTTAAATGTATTTTTCGTTTTTATAAATATTACTTATTCCATTGGTGGTAACATTTATTTTTATTAATTTATATTCTCTGGATTTATTACTTATAGTTATGTGTTTGAGTAAAACTATAGACTGTAAAAGATATGGACGCAGTATCCGTGAAGTCATCCATAGGTTCCTGAAAAGCACAAATGTAGCTACTAGTAGATGTGGCCAACCATCACCATTTTGATTGCGCCGACAAGGGGTAACCGGAAAAGGGCAAAGAGGTGGAGCTTGAGCAGAGCTACAGATGCCTGCTAGCATTCTGCGTAGACTGCTTTTCTTTAGGATAAATGCCTAATACTTCATTACCTGTGAATCCGTTCTGTTCTGACCACATCTGCATGGTTGTACACTATATCAATAAAGTGTTTAGTCAAAACATTGTTGTAATACACTGAGCCACTTGAATGGTTTGGGAGCACAATTAAGTGCACACAGCATGCTATATTATCTGATAATTGTAGGAAATAATTCCAAAAGGCAATTGACTGACTAAAGCCACATGAAACAAAACAAAAATACAATGTATATGCCGAGTTCAGCAGCTAATCAGCGGGAATCAGCTGAGGTGACGTTACGGCAACCAGCGAGACCTAGCTGTCACTCAAGTGACAATTATGCAGACTTAATATAACTTAACAAAAACAAAACGGACGAGTTATAAAAAAAATTCACCCCCTCACAGTTGTCATGAAGGGTAATATTAGCTGTATACACCAAAATCGCTTTTTTTTTTTTTTTTTGCCCCAGGCTGTAAACATCTTTCTTTCTGCTGTAAAGTTGATCATTTTAACATTGGGGTCAATAGAAATGTGCTTTATTTTGGAGCCAGGACTAAAGGGATTTAAATTAATTGCAATTTCAGTTTCTTCCGCATTAGCTTCACGGAGGAGGGCAGGATGTTGCCGCTTGAGTAAACCATAGTATTTGTTTAATTCTGTAAACTGCTAATGACATATTCCCCTAAATTTGTAATAATAATCATTTAGAGCATCTTTTATATAAAATAAAAAGGTGAGATTTTTAGTTAAAAATTATTTTTAGACAATGCAATACCAAGGTCTCAGCATTAGAAATGCTTTAACCCTGCTATTTAATCAAAACAAAAGATTTTTTTATTATGAGCAACTTCCATTTTCAATCGGTCAATCAATAAACAATACATACCTACATATACACATACATACCCTCTCTAAATAACATTTTAATAAAAAAAATGGAAGTATTATTATCAAAACATTGTAGAATAAAACAAATATGTTGAACTCAAACCCATTCCTAATACAGTAAATCCAGTGGAACTGAGAATTTTCAAGTGGTCTCTTAATATATTTCCTAGCTACAGTGCTCCGCATGAATGAGTACACCCCATTGTTAAAATTAATATTTGTATCCATTTCTCAGTGAATATAGGCTATGTATTTTGGTGCATTTAAACAAAACCGATTTATTAAACAGATATATTTATTCAAATAATATTTTAGCCACCAAACTTATTTTTTTCTCTTTTTAAAATTAGTATTTAATATTTTTCTATAACATAAATTTGGGTTTGCTAGTTTTTTTGACCATTATTGTAAGTTATTCTGTTATATAAGCTCCAGATTTCGTCTTCAGTACTAACTAACCTAATGTATATGCACAAATATAATATCGTATAGCTTCCTATTAAAAATATGAATTTAAAAGAGAGATTTGTGAGGGGTGTACTTATATATGCTGAACTGTATATATACATTTTAAGGCAGATTACCAACAAAATTAACAATAACAATTAAAATTTATTTTGTCTAAATGAATCCACCATCCACTAATAAAACTTGCATACCTACATAATGTCAGACTAAATAAACAACCATCTGGGTGCTGATTAACATAACAGCCCACACAGATTAAGCGGCATCAGCAGAAAAGCAATCAGAAGTTCTTTCTTTGAAGCAACCTAGCCAATGAATCATTCACAATAGGACCAGGAAACATTCATTTACAAAGCAAATAGTGTGCGTTTTCCCTTCGTTGGAAGTGGAATGTTGCAATTTCCAGTGCGTTTTTTATTTTGTATTCATTTTCCGTGCCACCTCTTTGTTTACCCAAGTCCCTCGGCTCTGGGAATATACGTTATCGGATTTTATGGAGCATGTCTACTACCCCGTCCTGCCCCCCTCCTATCGCTATGCACAACAGCCCGTGCGTACCGTCAAATCTTTCACTACTAATTGAGTAAGGCTGCAAACAATTTATTGGCACTCAGAGACAGAGGCATTTGCTTCATAATTAAAAACACATGCACCACTTCTGAGAGATGCAATTATGGTGCGCTAAAGAATTCCCTGAACATGCTTGGGGATAGGTCAGTGGATAAACAAATAATGGAGAGTTTTGCCTGAACGCATGGGGCAGATCATACACTGGTCCCGTAATATGCGAAAAAGAGACACAATAATGTCTGTGTGCATGCTTTTTTTGCATGCATGTTCACGCGTCAATACAAATAAGTTGACGCGAATTCAGATTTGGATGATTACACACCGAGAAAGAAACAAGTCGGACAAGCACACGCCGAGGCCTCAGGCTTTTTTCCAGATTCATGTCAGCACAAGGGTAGAGCGTATAAGAAGGATACAGAGTGTGTTCGCAGTGAGAGATGAAGGAAATGCATGTTTCTGTAGCGAAGGCCTTCAGAATCCAGAGAATGCCAGAACACCTGGAAGTTATTATGGAGGACTCCAAAAAAAAAAAAAAAAAAAAAAAAAAAAGTCTTACGTCCTCCAGATTCTCGACTTTAGCTGGACTCAGCACACAAATGGTGTATGAGCGCGGATGCGCAAACCCTTGACCATTTCCTGACTTTAAAAAGGCTTTAACGTGGGTTTTAGATATATTAAGATACGCTATCTGTCGGATGGAGATAGTTTAATGCACAATATTGTGGAATAAGTCCTGTCATTTATAGGTCTGATTGTTTTGTTTTGCTATATAGTCACAAAAATGATTGCCATATGTGATGTTATTGTCATTTTAAGACCATTTTATGCCACTGATTATTTGATTATATGATAAGATTCATTCATTCATTCATTTTCTTTTCGGCTTAGTTTCTTTATTAATCTGGGGTCGCCACAGCGGAATGAACTGCCTGTATGACAAGATAATATTTTAAATATACATAACTCATTCAGGTGACAAAAACTTTTCATTTTTAAAGGGATAGTTCATCCAAAAAGTACAATTAACTCACTTGTTAGAAAACATTTAATGTTTTTGTTCTTCTATCGAACACAAGAGACGATATTTAGAAATATGTTGGAAACCTATTACTGTCGACTTCCATAGAATTTGTTTTTCCTACTATCGAAGTCAATGGTTACAGGTTTTCATGTTTTCTCTCGCATGGTTGCCCACTGAAGCTAAGCAGGGCTGCGCCCAGTGAGTACCTGGATGGGAGACCACATGGGAAAGCAAGGTTGCTGCTGAAAATGGTGTTAGTGAGACCAGTAGGGGGCACTCAACCTTTAGTCTGTGTTGGTCCTAGTGCCCCAATATAGTGAAGAGGACACTACACAGCCAGTGGACGCCGTCTTTTGGATGAGATGTTAAACCAAGGTCCTGACTTTTTGTGGTCGTTAAAAATCCCAGGATGCCCTCCGGTGTAACCCAGACATCCTGGCAAAATTTGCCCACTAGACTCTGTCCATCATGACCTCCCAACCATCTCCATATCATAATTGGCTTCATCACTTTGTCTCTACACCAATCAGCTGGTGTGTGGTGTGCGGTCTGGCACAATATGGCTGCTGTCGCATCATCCAAGTAGATGCTGTGCACTGGTGAAGGATGAGGAGATTCACACCCCATAAAATTGTGTAAAGCGCTTTGAGTGTCCAGAAAAGCTATATAAATGTAAGGAACTATTATTATTAATTATTTATATAAACTTAGACAACAGTGATGTAAAATGTTAATGTCTTGCTTTAATTTTAGTGTGAATGTGTGTCATTTTTCAGCCTCGAAGCAGAGCTCATCTGTAAAACTTTTTTCAAACCATCAGCAGTTTTCAGGAAAATGAGAAAATTCACCTTTTAAAACTAACTCAGGTATAAATCCTGTCTGGCCAATGCACTTCAACAATATGCCTTGTAAGGCTTGGCAATATGACAAAAATAAAATTATATAGTTTTATATAATCAAATTCACCATTTGGCCAATTTACAATGTAGATGATTAGACATTTAGAAAGTGAGCGATTGGTCCATAATTTAAAGGTCATGAGAGGTC